CCTATCTGTCGGTCAGGCACCACCATTGCCGTGCAGTCAGCTTCGGGTCAGTTTGGGTCTGAGGGCCCCTTTCACACTATCATCAGCTGCAAAGCGGGGCCAGCGATTTACACTGGTCGGGGCCCCTGCATCTGTGAGGGTCCCAGGGTGCCTAGCACGGGGTCCTGAGCTCGCAAGGGGTTCCGAGCTGACCAAGGGCAGTGCTTGATAATGAGGCCCGAAAAGGGACCTGGGAGACCCACCGGAACCGACGACCAAGGGCTCGGTTGGAGGGCGTAAGGGTCCGAAGAACTGACTGTAAGCCACATAAAGAATTGCAGCCCGTAGGGTCACACCTGAAATATCGGTCAGATAGCCTCTTGCACCGTTTGAGGATCCCTGTGACAATGCGGGTGTCTCAGTTGGCCAGAGGCCACGAACACCGAACAGTTGGCTCTCTGTCAGTTTGAACCCTGAAGACCCATTTCCCAAGCAGGAGCAAGGCCGGGGTCACGATTTTCATTGGTATGGGTCGCCTAAAACAATGGTTGAAGCCCTTGTGTTGGTCAGGAGCCCACAGTGCCTAAAAGCGGGCCACGTGTCGGCTGTCGACCCCGAGTCGGTCACGGGCTTTGTCTGAGAATGCCCGGGGAGGGGCCAAAGGGATCAAGGGCCCGATTGGAAGACTGAAGGGCCCGAAGGACTGGCTGTGGGGTACCTAAAGAACGGAAGGACGACGGACAGTCAAAAGGCCCCCGCCTATAAGGTCGTCATCTCAAATGTCAGTAAAAGAACCTCTTGTACCGATTGGGGACCCCTAATACAGAGCGCTCTTTTATTTCGGCCAGAGATCACAAACACAGAATGGTCCGCTTCGTGTTGGTCTGAGTTCTGGGGACCTATTTCCCAAGCAGGGACAAGGCCGAGTCGCGATTTGCATTGGTCCGGGCCCCTGAAACAATGCGGGACTCTTGAATTGGTCAGGGCTGGTGCCTTGAGTCAACATGATGCTTTGTGTCAGCAAGAGGTCTCTAGTCGGCTTGGCCAGAGCATTTGCTCAACGGGGACGGGGAATGGACCCCAAATGACAGAGGGCCTCTTAAGTTGGCCGGGGCCCTCTGACAATGAAAGGAAGCAGGAGAACGTATGCTACGTGTTCACAGTGAGGCAATAGAAGGTTCCTGCGCCAGCCAGGGCCCCCAATACCAGACGGTGGGCCCTCCAGCCCAATTCCAGGACGGGCCCGTTAAGCCCAACTGGAGTCCATGAGTCAATTATTGGACCACCTGCTTCGATCACGGATGTTGTTGCACCAATACGGGTTACTGCGTCGATCCGGGGCCAACTGCACATGTCAAAACGCCTCCCGTGTCAAGGAGGGGACCAGTGCAGCATGATATATCTCTCTGAGGACCTCCGGATCGACCAGGAAATCTGCTCGTTGTCAGCAGAATGACAGCCGGAAGACACCCGCGGTCATGGGCATAGGAACAGGAGGGCCCAGCAGGGCCCATGCCCCCTCCCCCCCCCCCCCCCACACGCTTTTCAAGGTGTGGAACCAGCAGGGTTAACTGCCTCTCCCCTCACACTTTTTATATTATGGTTGTGTTTAGCTTACTTCTGCACCACATTTAAATATGCATGCCGGTTAGCCTAGTTCACTAGTCATCTTCCTCAAGGTGCGTCATCTTTTTCGTTTGCTTATTGGCCATCGCTTAGTGTCGCAACCGCAGGCCGACGCCACGGCCTATGGAGACTGCAATGCCAGGCGTTCAGGCTGTTGTTGCTGTGGCTTGCGAGCGCGTGTGTTCAAAAACATATTACATGGTTTTTATCAGTAATCATTCTGACTAAATATTGAACATTTTAAGACGAACATGGATTAGCCATGTTAATACAAGCTTAGGATCCCATCTAATCTACAATCTACGTTAAGGGATCTCTCAGTATCTCTGAAGAAAACAGAAAAACACGGAACTGGAACCTGTGTGACAATTATTGGACCAGCTTTGGCGATCATGGATGTTGTTGTGTCAATGAGGGTTCCTGCGCTGATCCGGGGCCAACTGCGCGGGTCAGATGGCCTTCCGTGCCAGGGAGGGGAACAATGCGATATGATATATCCTTCCAATGGCTTCCGGATCGGCCAGGAGATCCCGCCCCGTGTAGTTAGAATGACAGCCAGAAGACGCTTCGCGATGGGACGGCCTGGCCCTTCCGCTCTTGACCGGAACCGGTAATGTGCCCTTGGTGTTCTACTTAAGGGGCACTTCGCCCGAAAGGAAATACGGGGCCTCATTATTGTTGAGTAGAGTGAAGGTTTCATTATTGTTGAATGGAGTAGGCATAAATGAATTAAAGAATCGAACAAGGCCATCCCATGTTTGCCTACGAGCGTTCATATTTTCAGAATGGATTAGTGAAAAACTTCATCAAAAGGTTTGAACATGTCTGCCCGCAACCTCGAGGGGAGGGACAGGGATGATCTGGGTTGCAGCTTCCGTAAAACCGAACGGCGTCGGCCACTGCAAGTGCCACCAGACGGCGGACGCCATGTTAATCTGGCTTCAAGACAGATTAATAGTTACAGAAAACGGAAAACAGAGAATCTGCCTCTACTCCTCCAGATCCACCACCATATTCCAGCACCACTTCACAGTCCTTTTAAGGCCAATCCGTTCATATCATCAGTCTAAAAATCGCACACGTGAAATATGCGCCCAGACTGCCTTGTAGATGCAAGATTTGATGTCCCGAAGCGTTCAATGGTACTTCTTTCAGAAGCGCCATCGTTTTCGTCCGCCCGTCGACCACAGCTCAGTATTAGCTGTTGTGCGCGGCCTACGGAGACTGCAACGCCTGGCGTCGAGGTTTTTTAAACTAAGATTTACGAGTACGCATGCTCAAAATCATGTCACAGAACTTTTTGACTAACCCAATCAAGTGTTTAAAGGCTATCATTTCAAAACCGTTACCATTTCCGTTCACCGGTGGACCATTACGAGAAGTCAACCACTCAGCTAGTGCTCCGCGGACCATGAGGACTTCAGCGCCTGGTGTCGAGGTTTTTGTAGCTAAGATTTGCGAGCGCGCATGTTAAAAACACCGTTATGTGAGCTGTATCACTAATCTATTCTGGCTGAATGTTAAACATATCCAGAAAAACATGGCTTGGAGGTGTTAATACACATTGCTTGTCACTAGATCTACAATAAAAATTTTCACCCTCAAATTTCGATCAAACATATCGATCTACAATCTACCTTCGCGATGTCCTCAACGTCTGTAGAACGCAGATAAAATTTTATGACAAATTCTCTGAATTCTATCGGATTAGAAAGAGCTCACTAAGCCATTGCAAATTAAGACCACCGGTGACTTATTCCATGCGATCGTTAAACGGCTGATTTCTGCAGTTTATTGACCTTAACACCCGCCCGGGTGAGGGTCAAATTGACTCGCCCCTCGAAGGTTTTTCCAGAATGGTTTCCGAACGGCGCGGCGCAGCCGCGCCATGTTTTGCATAGTTGTAGCAAATTGAATAGCAGATCGTTCGACATTAATAAGGTAAATGTGCTTTGTAAGGTCGCTAACCTATGCTAGGTCAAATTCAGGCCATGGTTTCAGCGAAGTCAACATCTAGGAAATATTTCAATCTGATGCAACAATGGACTGTTAGACGAAGCCATACATTTCTCAGATGCTTTCTTAGGCAACAAAAATATTGAATGAGCAAATTGCGTTGACCTATGGTGAGGAATAAAGGTTAGACCAGGGTCAAAATCAACCTGTTTTATGGCTCTAGGACTTGCTGTCGCTTATTCAAATGCAAAAGCTTCCGAATTTGGCTCCGTCTAAAACGCCACGACAAGTCTTATCTCTTGAAAAGCAGCCAGCGAGATGAAGGCACATGCAAAATATGTTGTGCTGTGAGCCATCCATTCACTTTCAAAATTCTCACCAGACTTTGCTTAGGCCATATTTTGGTATCTACCCTGTGGTGACAGAGGCCTCCTCAATGACCCAAAATGGCTACCCGCTGGTGGAATTTCGACTCCCCAGGAGAGACGTTGAAATGGACAAATAATCTTGGGAACCTGGATGGCCTTTTTTCCCGAATGACATAGATGAGCTGGATAGGCAAGAATGTGCACCAGTGAGAATCAGGTCTAGATGCATATCTAGAATAGCAGTCATTACATTTGAACAAAGATCGATAACCTCCATTTCTAACATCCACCCCCCCCCCCCGCGGTCATCGGGCTTGTTTTCTAGAAGAAGTTCCTGGACTACGCCCTGAGCTTGGCCGCCCAAATTTTGAAACGTTCCTACGCCTATGCCCGCGGTGAAACGGAATGGCCATTCAATCCTTGATCACGAACAAGATGCGCCTCCTAGTGTTCTACCCAAGGAGTCCTTGCACGGAACGGAATAAGGGGTCTTACTCGTGCCGAGAAGGATGGGTCGAAATGACTTGAATATGAACAGGATCATGCCCTGTTTGCCCGAACATGTTTACTTCTTGCAGAACCGATTAGTTAAACAAACGACATCAAAATGTTTGAGCCTGCCCGCCCAAAATCTCGGGAGCAAGGACAGAGATGGTCCGGGTTGCAGTTTCCGTAAAACGCAACGGCGTATGCCACAACACCAAGCAGCGGACGTTATGCGTTTGACTGGTACGCTGTATCAGAAAAGTTGTAGTTCTTCAGATGTCAAGGTCGCGAAGAGAGGACCTATTGACCTAAGCAGCCTTGACTCGTTCGATATTCGATATACAGTGGTCTTATCAGATTGGCCCTCAATTTTGCCTACAGATACAGTTTAATATTCTGAGCATAATGAGCACAAGGTCTTGGACCGGTATTGGTACGCTGACTATGAATATGAATCTGGTACCAACTTGACGAACGTACATAATGTTGTTTAATTTTGAGGCTATCCTGGCGCTGATGCTACGAACAATGGTGTATTCAAAGCAGTGAATGAAAGGAGCGTAACCGGTGCTGTTTACATCTTTTGGCTGATCCGCCGTCGATCGATCTTCGAGCAGCTTTTACCTTTTCTGAGACAGTTGTCTTCAAACTTTTATATTTACCGACGTATACAGCTGAGAAGGTATATTACACATGGCCTGTATACGATGTATTATTCAACACGGCGGTTCCATTACACAGCTGACGAGCTTTCTGTGTTTATTTTGGTGTTCTCACATGCCTCATGGTGGCAAATAAGTTTCATTATGCAGGAGACTTCTGTGAGTCGATGTGTTCAGCGAGTTAGTGATGTGGGTAATTGGGTACTTTTGTGCTGCTTTCATGTGTTTGTGTGGGTTGTCTTGCAGATGGCAACTTTAGACATGCAGGACTATGTTGTGAGCCAGAGGAGAAGGAACAGCGCTCGCCTTGCTGCTGGAATGTATTCACAGCCAACCAATGGGTTAGTTACATGGAGGGATGGATTAGTGTATTTGTCTCCCACTTCTTTGACAGTGTTACTGTCAAGGACTTCATTCTGAAAAGATGTTTGCACATTGAGCAGTTGTTGCCTATAATAGACAATTAACCAGTGTTGAAATGCTTAGAGCCAGGAAACCAAGACACGTGGGTGTCATGAAACATGTACCAACATTATTATTGCTCTCAGCAGGATGGATGTGGGTTTGCCTGGTGTGGGGCCAGGGTGAAGTGTGTTGAGCATATGTGTGTCCTGTAGGGTGCGACCACCCAGATTTTACTGTGACATGTTCAGCCCCTCAGCATTGAAGTATTCTTTCATTGCTTTTTGCATGATAACAAACTAAAAAGGTAGCAGCTGCTTGCAGCTTGCTATCAAAAGCCAGGAGATACTGGTTATTTTGTTCTGAGAGAGGCAGATGGATAGCACAACTGTTTTGGTTATTAAAATTGGTTGAAAATATTGGCCACACATAAAGCATACATGGATTTGGTCATAAATATTCATCACTATTTTGTGTTGAAGCTTTGAAGGTCATTACTAATGAGCCTTTAATAGCTCAATTCATTGACTCATTATTGCAGAGCATCAGTATGATGTTCTGAGCCCCGAGTTGTGATTGATAAAGATTAGTATATATGCACATTCAAAGAATACCCATTTGTGATACATTCTGATTTAGAAGTGTGCTGTGTATGTGTGGTAAGTGATGCTCATGGCATTGTAGTGGATTTCTGGCACAGTCTGGTGACTATCTTCTTGTGATGCATGTTAGTTCATACTTAACTTATGTGAGTTTGTATATACTTTGTGATCATGTGATACAATATATATATATATATATATATATATATATATATATATATATATATATATATATATATTACCACCTAGACCAGCATGTGTGACCAGTGTATGTGGTGCTTGACGGTCAGAGTGCAGACGGTGGTAACAACGGACGATGTACCGGAGGCGACGAGCGGCGGCCGCTCTTACGCCTTCTGGCTGCTGGTGGCTGTTGTGCTGCTGGTGGCCATCTTTAACCTGCTCATCACGCTGACGCTCATCAGCGTGCTGCGCATCTCCGTCGGCATGGAGAGCGTTCAGGTGCGAGACGCACGCACTGTTGCTGCCCTGGCCGCGAGGCAGAGCTCAGTTTCTGACTGAGCCTTGTGCCCCGTGTTTGGGGGACCTCTATGTCTAGGGTAGTGTCGGGGTTGTGTCGACGCACTATATCACAATGTGACTCCACTGCAGTGCACTGCCTGCGGTAACGTGCAGCGACAGTGTTGAAGCCCGGGCCTGGAGTCTGCGGCCTTTGGTTAGATGCGAGTGCGCGACGAATTAAGGTGTGTTGGTATCTTTTGTGGCTCCTTATCAACGATTGAGCTGTGGTGATGTAAAGTTCGTCAGGAGGGTGCTTTAGGTTCCGCCGCGGCGTGGAGGAATCACTGCACCTGACTTGTGCCGCAATATGTGACAGGTTGTGAAAGGAGGAATGGTACTGCCTGGAACGGTGGATATGGACCGCCTCTACAAGCCAGATGGCTCCTTCCTGGGATTTGCCGACGATCCGATGTCCATCAACGGAGTCGGCGGAACGGTTGACCTCGTGGTAGGTGGCGGGTGTGCGCTCCGCTTCATGCATCTGCTTTGGCAGTGTCACGTTTTGTTCTCGGTCTGGCCCCGCCGTCACACATCGTGTTCATGCCTCGTGCTAATACCGAAAGGGCATGGTAGAGTTGCATTGGGTTGACAGCGGACATTGCGTCCGGGGCATCAGTCGCTGCTTTTTTCGAGGGTACTCGCTTGTAGCGCACGCGCCACTGCCACCGCCTGATCGCCTGCTGTTGATCAAGCGACGACCTTCGCCGGCGCGAGACGCCACCGGTGACGTCTGCACTCTGTGTCCTGTGCCGTCAGGTGTCGGCCGGTGGCCGGGACGATGCGGACGGCCCGCGACTCTCCCTGGCCGGCGCCGGCGTGCTGGTGCAGGGCGTGGCGCGCGCCGGCGTCTCCCAGGCCGGTGCCGTGCCCTTCTTTAACACCGCCTACCCCAACTTCGGCCTGCCGGCCGGCGTGCGCAGTCTGCGGGTGCAGGACGCGCGCACGCGCCGCGTCGTCAGCCCTGTCGACCGCTCGCTCAAGCTGCTCTCGTCGAAGCAGGCGCACCTCAAGGGCAGCGAGGGCACGCACGTCGACGGCAAGGAGATCGTCTTTTCGGCCGACCAGGAGCTGCATCTGAAGAGCGTCAACGGCAGCGTGGTGCTGATGGGCGCCGACGGCGTGCGGCTGGACGTGCGCGGCATCCCGTGGGCGCAGGGACGCAGCGTCAGCGACGGCACGCGCGCCGCCTACCGGCTGTGCGCCTGCATGCCGGCCGGCCGCCTGTTCCGCCTGCCTGTGCCGCTCGACAACGGCGATCGCGCGCCGGCCGAGCGCGTCACCTGCGCCAACGCCGCGCTGCACGGCGACAACAACCCGTGTGCCTGAGCGAGCCGGCTCGGCGCGCTCGACGTCCTCTCGCGGCCGCCAGCGACAGCGGTCTCCGCTGGGGAGAGGGCGCCGGTGCGGTGAGGGGCGGAGCTCCGCGTGGTCAGGGCGCGGCGGGACTGGTGCCGGGAGTGGGTGCGTTCGGGGCTTCCTGTAGAACTGGAGCAGCTTCGACCTGGGGTGTCTTCACACCATGCGCTATTTTGCCATCGGGTGGGTGCTCAACATGCTAAGGTTTTAACGCATTTAAAGCGGAAGGGTAATTCGACCATCCATCGATTACGGAGAAGCACCCGGACCATTACCGTTTCAAGACTTGCACCGTCTGTGAACAGTATGGCGTACGGTGATTTTCCATTCGGTTTACAGTCAGCTGTTCGCGCGCATTGCCCTTCTTAACAAAGTGACCTCTGTAGGCACGATTTTGAGCTTCCTGTCATATTATAATCGGCGTCCGTTTCATAATAAGGGCCCAAGGTAATACGTAATGAGTCCCGAAACCCTTTCGTTGGTAAAGCATGTTGGTGAAGCACCTTTGTGCGGCCGGGTGTTACTTCGTGACATTCATAACACGAGGCACCATGCTTAGAAATGTAGTGATCACCCACGGCCCGCATCTCCGTGTTGACCCTTGTTCTGCTTTGTCCGGAGTCTCCAAGGGTTTAACATCAGGCTGAACTGATCTCCCCGCGCCAGTTCCCTCGCCCGTTGTGGAGGCTGCCGGCACTGTCTGTCGCGGTCTGAAGCTTTAATGGAGGTAGCTGTAAGCGGCATGTATGCTTCCGTGGTCGTCCTGACGGCTACGTTACCATGCGATCGGATCCATCACAGCTCACAGTCCCACTCTAAGCACGACCGTTCGTTCCAGGCGCAGCCGTAGGCTGAGTGGGTCCTCTTGAGCAATGAAAAAATTTCCAGCCTGAGCTGCCGACCCGGCCCGTTCACCACACTGTTAACAAGCTTATATCTCTGGAACCCCATCTAACCTCCATAAGCCTGTAAGATGGGTGGTGATATACTGTTATATTGTGCTTCGAGACCAGGTATGGCACCGTCATAAGATCACAACAGGGTTAGAACTGACCATCTCCCAGTCGATGTATGCGGCCAGCGCACGTTTGGCGACCGATTACGTCACCACGTGGTAACTACACTGCTGCAATATATCATCTACGGGATAATAATTATATACGTGACATTACCTTGCTCGGCCCATGCGAAAGAAGGCGTAATGGTTGTGTTTTTGTTGCCATCCCTGTACGAGCCAGTTTTCCCCAAAGCTAGTCAACCCTAGTCACGACTTGTTCGTTGTGGACGTGTCCAGTTGCAGGAGTGTTGTGCGTTTTGTTCAGTGTGTCGGCCGTCGCCCGAAAGTCGTCTCAATATCGACGCGTGCTTGCGGATAATGTTATCGCCATAATACCATAACATAATGCCATACGCACCAGTATCGGTGCGTATGAGCGACGAGCGTATTTGGATGTCCGTGGTACCCAGTGAACGGATTTTACGGCTGTTTAACATTTTGCCGGTAATTGTTAATACTTCTACGCGTTGTACCGTGAATATGTGGACACAGTTTGGTGGTACTTACGAATTACTTTGCTAGTCCCTCGCATTTGCTGTGACATTGTTAGCGTATTGTTGTAGAATGTAGTCCTCTGAATTCCGTCGCAGCTGCACAGGCGAACTTGATGCGCATAGTAACAGTCTTGATGTGTGGGTCCTTTACCATTTTTGACGCTCTCCACTCATCAGAGCGGTCCCCTACACGGCTATGTATACTCGCCAGTCAGTCTGCTCATCAGGTGCAGTCCCCTCCACGGCTATGTGTACTCGACGCTGCTGTTGTCAAAATATAAAGAGATGCGCTGCAGATGGCTACATGCCGGCGGCAGTGGCCTGATCTTCGCTGAGCAGTTACCATGGAGATGACGAGCTGTCCCAAAGTACGTTTGCCTGGCTTCCAGCGGTTATGCCCTCCGGCGACGCGAATGAAGAACACGGTGACGCAGATGGCCAAAAGAATATCACTTGGTACGCAACCTTTGGTTTAATTCATAAAAACACAACTGATAGTGTTGGAGTGCGTTTCATCACATACGGCAACCAATCAGCGTCATTTCCGAGCGTGCAGAGCGCTTGTGGAATTTTACTGAACCCTGCCGGTACGGGTGTGGCATGGCCAGGGTTCACTTTATACCGAAATACCCACTACGCGGTTACGCAGTACGTGAAAAGACGTGTCCATGCCACTACACTGAAGTTCGCATCACGACCATACAAAACAATGACGATTAAAACGAGGATGACCGTGCGGCGGCACGCGCGCAGCCGTGCCGTTGACACCCCGCTGGCCGCACCTTGGCAGTACACGAGAGGGAAGCATCAGTTGTCGGCCATGTCCATGTCGTCATCGTCGTTCATGTCCTCGCCCTGTTCGCCGTCCTTGCGCTCTGGCGGCTTCTCGTACGCCTTCTCCAGTGGCGAGACCACGATGCCCTCCCAAACACTCATGTCCGTCGCGATGGCTGCAAACGGGGGACGTCCGTGAGCGGTCAGCGATGCACGGGCACGGTGCACGGTGCGGGCACGGTGTGCACGGGCGTGAGGGTGTCAGCTTGGAGCAGGCTGCGTGGTGCGGTCGAACAGCTGACTGAAACATCTCGCGTACCAACTTGGTCATGGCCGATGTGTCTCGCCACTTCCGAGACACATCGGCCGGCTCACACTGGACATCACTCGTGTCGGCCACCGGCCAACGGCAAGCGTCAGAGACGACCGAGCACGTCCGGCGCAGTCTCCTCAGCCGGTGATGCTGGCAATCCCGGACAGGGGCGGCGCGCAGCCGTCGGCACTCACTCGAGTTGCCCTCCAGGCCGATGACCTGTTTGTAGCCGCCGTGCGAGAGCACCCGCAGCAGGGTCTGCGCCGTGAGGCACACCACGTCCTGCTGCTCCAACGTCATGGCCGTGTGCACGCGGATGTTGCCACCCTCGCACGGGTCAGCGATGCCTGTCGGCAGGGCAGGTCGGCCATGAGCACACAGGTCAGCGACGCTGGTCCACAACCATACGGGTCAGTGACGCTGGTCCGCAGCCATACGGGTCAGCCATGCTAACCCACAGGCACACGGGTCAGCGACGCTGGTCCGCAGGCACACGGGTCAGTGACGCTGATCCGCAGGCACACGGGTCAGTGACGCTGGTCCGCAGCCATACGGGTCAGCCATGCTAACCCACAGGCACGCGGGTCAGCGACGCTGGTCCGCAGGCACACGGGTCAGCGACGCTGGTCCGCAGGCACACGGGTCAGCGACGCTTGTTACACATGCACATGAGTCGGTGATGACCGCCAACAAACGCACGAGCCGGCGATGTTCGCCAGACACACTGGCATCAGCGATGCGAGGGCCCCCGGAAACCGGCCAGTGACCTTCGCCGGACGGGCACCGGCCAGCGCCGAGATGCCCCGACCGGACATCACGTGACGGGCCGACTCACGGACCGACAGAGAAGCCGAGCAACTTGCAAAATGGCAATCTCGGATCCTGTGACGATGACACCACATGGCGAGCTAACGACATGGACGATGGTCGAAGGAATAGCATGTCGTGAAAAACAAACAGGACTTCGTTGCCAGGTTCCAGACTGTATATCTTTTGAATCTCGCCGAGTTGTTTCGGTCTTGAAGCCCCTCCGGTCAGAGCTGCAGCCCATAAGAGGTTAAAACAGCGCAGCTCGCGAAACACCGCAGCCGCTGCTCTGTCCAGCCTACGGGCCCGCACGGCGCCCGCGACTGGCGGCGTACCGGCCGATCCGGGCAGGAACAGTCCGGCGGCGAGCAGCTGCAGGCAGCGCCGGTACGCCTGGTGCACGGACATGGCCTGCCGGCTCGGGTTGTTCATCACCGCGTAGTGCGCCTGGCGACACAGGCGACCGCATCCCGTGAGTGATCAAGCAGTGCATCATCGCACACATGCCCTCCCCGCCCGAACGTCCTTCTGAAGACAGCCTTTTACAGGTGAGAAAGACACGACATGTTTAGCAAACAATTGCAAGACCATCACAGTGCAGAGCAGTCGTGGGAGACCCCGAAAATCGACATGTTACCGCTCTTTTCGACTGCTGATGAGCATACGTCATCCCGTAGTGTAATGTGTATGTGGTATTGCGGATAAGAATAGGTGTGGTGGTAGGCTAACTCCTGGCGAAAAGGTGACAATGAACCGTAAGCACACTGATGCTGTCTCCGAAAAGGAAAACTCTACCACTGGTGACCGGCACGCAATTACACCCAGCTGGCCTGTGATGCAGTGAACTCTCGTCTCTAAAGCCTTCCAATGAAGTGCACTGTAAATTGCCAACGGTTCCAAATCATGTTTGCGTACCATCTATCTCAGCAAACATTTAAACTCTAACATTAACATTGAACAAAAACATGCTATGTGCGTGGTACTAGATGGTCGTGTCATGCATTTTTATAATCAACAGCTCCCTACGGGCAATGGTAACCTCCGGCTTCTGACGCCAGTGCTTCAGACAGCCTTCCGCGTAGAACCGTGCATCCGGTGCTGTCTGTTGTATGTGGGAGCACGGATAATTTAATTTTGACAGCGTTTTGGTGGAAGAGTCTGCGCAGATTAGAAGCACGTTCTGGATTCAAGTCTTTTCGTTTTTTGCTTAACTTAGCTCAGCCTTTCCCTCACGATCATAAGCACAGCTTGAAACTTCGGGTACTTTGAATATACCCAATATTTGCGCTATAACGCCCTTCAACTCGTACCTCCTGGCACACCACAGGCCACTTACTCAGCATAAGAACTAAGAGCTGATCATACCAAAAGGCCAGGGGCTGAAGGTGTTTCTTACTTATATAAAGTGCAAACATTTATATAGATGGGATAGCAGCAGTGCAAAAATTGGTGGATGGGAACAGATTTCAAAGCAACAAATTTGCTTACTTCAGAGATGATTCAATCCATTTCTTTTGGAAACAACACAACAAAACCGAGAGCTTCTAGTGCTTACCAACAGATCCAACATCCATGGTGATAGGGGATCAAACCCCTCGAACCTATTCTTGAGATCTCGCAGAAGACGGATTAATACCTTGATCGACGAATGATGCGCATTCTCTTCGAACCATCGACTGTAACACGAGAGGGCATGAGGTCACATATACAGCTCCGCCACACAACGACGATAGGTAACAGTTTCTCTTCCCATACTGCATTACTGAAGAAATGTGAAACACACGCAATCCTGGCTGTCACTCAAAAATTGGCCATTCTAAATTTGCGGCCAATAGCGACTTTCTACACTTTGAGACGAGTCCAATGCATGTGTGTAGTGATCCGGCTGTTGGCCGCCGCGGGGCGTCACCATCATCGGCCCCGCGCGAGCCGCCGCGCGACCCGTCCCGCGCCGCCGCCAGCCTAGCCGCCCGGCTCGCCGTGCTCACCTGTGCCGGATGGCCGCCAGGTGGCTCTGCAGGATCTTCTGATCCAGGTGCAGCTCCGGGTCCAGCTTACGCAGGTTCTGGTGCACGGTGGTCACCAGCACGCGCACAGTCGCCTCGCTGTTGCTGATCTCAAAGCCGCGGTCGTTCGGCAGCATAGCCACCACCAGCACTGCAGCGGCGCGCGTGTTGGGTCGTTCAGCGGGCCGGCTAGCGCGTCTGCTTCGCACTCGTCCACCAAACGCACCAGAAGCGATGATATTGTGTAATATCACGCAGTACTCCTACTGATCGCATACCACAGGGCGCTGTCGAGGCTCCTTAAGCTGTTAGCAGTCAAGAAAAATATTACACAAACCCATAATGTTACTAAGGCCTGGCGTTGTTGGCATCGCCAAGCCCAGCATCGGCAAACTCAGCTGGGCTTTCCGGCGCTGATGGTACCGGTGTTGACGTGTTAGCGCGCGTCCTGGCCGACTGACCGTCCGACGGTTCCTGCTGTTTCAGCTCCTCCGTGACCTGATTTCCCAGCGCCTCCACCGCCTCCCGGGTCGGCAGTGTCTTCAGGATGACCACAATGTCCGCCACGTTGTGGTTGGTGCGCATCGTGCCCTTCTTGTAGGAGCCCACTTGCCGGTGTTCCTCTATTTGCTGAAGGCAGCCACAACAGAGAAGCTTGTAATAATCCCGTGGCGAGCGAAAACACAGGATGTCCTCATCACGCTTCCATTCTCACCGACACGAGCGCTGCAATCAGCACGGTAGCAAAATAACATTTGGGCGTTATCCAACATTCGGATACCGGCACGTGGAAAGCAATTTCATACTGTTGGCCGGTACCGGCCGAGCGGCGGGCGGACCCGGGCCGCTCGGCCAGCACCCGTGGAGAGCCGCCAGGCCCGCCACTCACGCAGGCGTCGAACGAGCCGGGGGTGACGATCAGCGTGTCGAGCACGGTCGAGATCTTGGTCACCAGGTTGAGCACGGCCGTCTGCTCGGGCGGGCTGGGCGAAAGGTCCGTGTTTCTCTTCAGCAGCGCCTGGTGAGGCGGGGCACGTGTCACGGGGGACGTCCAGAAGACGGCGCAGGCGACCGGTGCGGTCTGGGTGCTGGCGCAGACCCGGCTTCACACAGAGCTGTGAGCTGTGTGCGTTTTAGGCCGATCTAGATGGCGCCGCACGGGAACAATGCTTTGGGAAGTCGACGGGAGCACAGACACACGAGTACTAAAAGACGTCGAGGCGCCAGACTGGCCATGTGACGATGGTAGTTAGGTATGAAAAACAACAATAAAACAATCGTGACACGTGAACATGCCTTCAAGTAAGAAAGTTTCAGTCGTCAGGCATGGAGGCGCATGAGCGCACGTACACACCGCCTGATGACAAAGGGTCTGGCCGAAAATATGACGCTGACTCCTGAGCCCAACAGAAAAGGTTTCTTAACGCCTAGCCATTTCTTAAGTAAAACGAGGATTCCGATACAAACATAGTGATATGTACAAGGTACATCATATGACTGCCTGTTTAATGGCCTCATCCAGACCGGTGAAACATAGCACTGATTCCCGCTGCTCCCATCCCACAACCCAATCATTCCACGGCTCCAAGGCTGGCCTACTTCGTGTAAGTACGTCATGTTATTTCCCGCTCGCCAAGGCCACCTGTAAAAGCAAAACAGGCCGGTGGTCGTCAGCAGGGCATCTCGATCCCTCCTCCAAATACAGCGCGGATCAAGACTGCCTGCACGGCCCTGCGACGTCTCGAACACGTCCAGCCGTCCACGGCCGTCCACATGCGGCGCGTCCACATGCGGCGCGTCCACATGACGGCGGGAGCGACGGCCGGCCGCGGCCACGGGCGGCGCGGGCCATGTTTGTGTTATCGCCGGACACCGGGGCAGCTAACGTAAACAGTGGCCGGGCGGCGCGTTGAAGGCGCCGCCGGCCTGCACCCGACCAAAGAGTGGGCGCGCGCGCGCGGCCAGCAGAGACGCGTGCCGGCCGGCCGACCAGCGGACGCGGGGCGGCGCGCGGCGCGCGGCCATGGCGCGGCGGTAGCCGAGGCGGCGGGCCACCGGACGAATCAAGCGGCAGGCGACAGCACTCGACCGCGCAGGAGCGCCACCTGCAGCACGGTGAGTCGGCCAGCAGCGCGGGGCCGCCGCGGCTCGCGTCTGCGTGGCCGCGCGGCCGCGCGCGCTTCACGCACCTGCTGGAAGGCGGTCTCGTCGGGCGCCGGCTTGACGCGCTGGAAGGCCGGCTCGCACAAGTAGATGTCGAACGGCAGGCGCGGCACGAACGTCTTCATCTTGTAGCCGCCGCGGCCCATGCGCAGGCCACCGCGGCCCCGGACTCCGCCGCGCATCTGAGGCAGGGTGTGCGCGCGCGCGCGCGGCGCGTGAGTGAGGCTGAGGCGGGCGGGTGGGCCGCCCGGCGAGCGGCGGCTCACCACGGGGACGCGGTGCCGACCGACTGCGGCCGCCGCCGGAGACGCCGCGGTGGTAAACAGGCACCGGCCGCGCCGCCGCGGCACACCGACGGATGGCGAGGTACACAAGGGCGGCGGCGCCCCGGGGCACTCCGAGCAACATTCGAAACGCGTAGCGGGTCGTAGCGTTCACACGTGTCGGCGGGACATTTGAGGACAAAAACATTAATCAGAAAGTAAAAATGTATTTCCTTGCCGTTTTTTTCCATTATCAGGTGTGCAAGGTGTTCGGACGACCTGCTACCGAAATGAACGGCGTGTACTGCCCCGTCCTCTGACAATGTTTAGCTGCTGTCCCACATTTCACGACCCGTGCTTGCTTCGCTCCAAGTCTGACACAGTTTGTGCAAGTGAATCATCCGGCACCGCCCCGCAAGGTCACTGGCGGAGGCCAAACCGAACCGAGGTTATCGTCACAGCCGAGCTTCGATCCGTCGGGCATTAACTCATAATCAAAAGACTGTTGGGTGGTGCTCGGCGAATCTCAAACTGGTATGCCTTTTGGGAAGTTGATATCCCACCCAATCAGTGAACTAACACATGCTGCTCAGATATATGTACAGGAACTGACAGGCAATCACAGAACTCCAGTTTCTGAGACTACAGCCTGCACACTTTACCAAGAAAACAGCTTTTTCTGTTAGAGAGCAACAAAGCAATTTACATGACTGAGCTTTCCAGCAATTTATTTGAACCATACATTTCATGATCAGCTGTGCCACCAGATGTGAAAGACCACTATATGACCTGTGGTGGAATGTGATACCACCACCAATGGACATGATTGTTTTGATACAGCGAGCATTAACTGTGATGGAAAATCATTAACTGAGCAGGAAAACCAATGGAATATGACATCCACAATGATGGGATGGGACAACAGTGATAGGATAGGTATGCATCATCTTTGGACATGATGTTGGTGATGATGGCATAGAACACTCAAGGTGATAGCATATTTTGCAATCTCATGGGTCATGACTCAGTGACATTTTTGGATGTGATCTTTCATTGACAGTAGGTAGGAGACGTGATGATCCTGCCCACCAAGTCATCTGATAAATCAGCTTTAACTGAAGTTCAGGGTAGGCAGCTGGTCAGGGCCCTGCTGATTATTTGCCCAACTTTTTGCCCAACCCTCCCACATCTGAGGCAAACTTAGCTTTATTTGGTAATCAGCTCCTCACACAAACTGCAAGAGTGGGTATGAAGGTATCAGGGTGGTCAAGAACTAGTGAGAGTTTAGTATATCCCTTCCAACCTAAGCTGATCCATACATACTTTCCTGATGGATTTGGCCGAGTCAAGCCTGAATGGATCAGTTTAGGTCATTAGATGTGTTAATCTTATATTCAGTCTCTAGGTACTTGGAGGTCAAAAATGCATGAAAGCAATGCACTGTACTTGGAAGGAACATACTGAACTCTCACTAGTTCTTAACTGCCCTGATACCTTACATATCCACTCTTGCAGTTTGTGAGGAGCTGGTTACAAAATAAAGTTAAGTTTTCCTCAGATGTGGGAGGATTGGTTCAGCATGTCATATGCATCAACATAAATTTTACCTGCCATGTGGGAGCCTGACAAGGTCATTAACAACTTACACTATTCCTTACCTATCCTGGCAATTTCTATACCACCTATTCCCACTCAAGCAGGGTTTATCAACAAATGGGAAGAACATAGAATAAAATCTGCACTGAGCACAAAGGTTAAGCAGTGCTTCCAAATGCCATTAAGGTTGGTATACAAAACTGCAAAAACTGCTTGATACATGAAATGCATCCCACTTAGAGGTGAAACTGTCTGAACAATTCAGCACACATGCACTGCAAATCCAAGCAGCCCAGGTTTGGCACATTTCTACCAATAATCTCAGGGTGTGGAACACCATTATTTCAGGGAAGAAAATGTTGCAATGGCAACTAATTTCAGGACAAAATGCATGAAATGTGCCACAAAAAGTTTCACAGCAAACGAATCAACTCAGTACAAGCAGACCAATTCCACATTTGTTGTAGTGGATGTTTTTCGAGACATATAGGGGCGTTCCTTGCAATATGTTCATACTGTGAAATGCTTAATACTTAAGTCTTTTCCAACTTTTGCACTTACATGGTGGGTATCCAAAGTTCTTTATCATCGTTGGACGGTCAACAGGCATAGAAATAAGGTACAGGGGAAAAGTACTTACCATTTCGTTTTAGCCAGACGCGAGATGCCGAGACAGCGATGAGCAAGCGTAAACCTTTTGAGAGCTATCACGACTATCGGAGCGTTTTTTACATAAGTTTGATAAGTAAAGCCTGCATCAACTGTGACGACCAACACCATCAAACAAAAATAGGCTGAACCGGCATGGGACCCGCGCCGCTTTCTATCGATCCCCGTTTACGCAGCCCGACCCTGGCGTGATCTAGTGTGGTTCGCGGAGCGTCCATTATACGCCGTTGTACGTAATGCGCCATTTACACACCCGGTCAAAGTGCTACCAAACACAGAAGATGCATTATTACTTTATCGATAGGTAAAAGCGAAAAAGACAGCGAGAAAGTCGATGGGGGGGGGGGGGAACACAGGGGAAGAGAGATGAGGGAGCAAACTTTACCGACATTCTGCTCTAAGGGAGTGTCATGATATGTCTCTCTCCTAAAGATTCCATATTGTGCTAATTTTCCAGTCATAAGATTTTGCAAATGTTATATATATATATATATATATATATATATATGCATATGCATATGCGTTTATATATACATATATACATATATGTGTATATATATATATATATATATATATATATATATATATATATATATATATATATATATTAATCTGTGTGTGTGCTGTGTGTGTGTGTGTGTGTGTGTTGTGTGTGTGTGTGGGTGTGTGTGTGTGTGCTGTGTGTGTGTGTGTGTGTGTGTGTGTGTGTGTGGTGTGTGTGTGCTCGTAAAAAGGGCGCCTTGAATCGTCCCTATGAGGTCGCCTTCTTCAATCAAAACAAGGTGAACTCACCGCTATATCCACTTCTTGCACCGCCCTAGAAGAAAACGGTGATAACACTATTGCCATTTCGTTGTTGATCGGAAATGGACCCCTCGGAACTCTCGGCGTGAAACACTGGCGCTGACACTTAGCCATGGTAATTGTATGTTGTCACCTATGATGTGATGCACCGTTTGGTACTAACACCTTGTGAGCTAGATGAAGGGTGCTGGGAACCGTAGAAGAAGGGGCACAGGCGCTGGAGGAAGGGACGGGGCGTGCGCACGTAACAACTCCCGGATACACGAGCCCCTCACCAAATGTAGGGCACATGGTAATGTGGACGTGCGTGCATGATGAGTTGACATCTTAAAAAGGTTCGGTTTGGCACATCAGGATAAGAAGATCGAGAACACGTGATGTTTAAGGACAGGCAAGAGGTTGCGTGCTCATGCGGCTCGGTGATCTCGATTTTCAGGGTTTTTTTAACTGCACCATCTGCCATCGCGAAATTTTGCGTACGCCTCTTTCAAACGCGCGACAGGAAGCTGGGACCGGCTTTCATCCCATCTTTCTGAAAATTGAGCATTGGCATCGATGGCGTTGGCTAGGAAAAGAAATGACCACCGTTTATCGCCTACATTCGTACCCCAACTTCGAAATATTTTCATTGTCCATGGTGAGGAAGGTCAGCACGGGCAATAGAAATGCCAATGATATGGTTAATGTAAAGATAAGCATCATACCTACCTGAGGCACATTTAAAATTTACATACACTTGTCAACTTGGCCTGACCAAGTTTGAAACGCCAGTTTGGACCCTTGCCGGTTGGACGTGAGGCGCCCAGCCGGCAGTGCCCATAACATGCCTGGTGAAACACACAACCTGTGGGACTAGGCTATTTTGATGATCTATGTCATCATCATTTATGTGAGCGCGCAGATAATCAAGAATGCGACACCTACAGGTACACGCATGCGCACACCAGCTACCAGCTATCTCCCAAATGGCCTCAGAACGTGCTTGTCACTCAGTCTTATGATTAGAGCTATCTTTCGGGCGCTACCCGACGAGTTTCGCATACAGTGGAGGTACGATGCATATGTCTGTTATTTTTCCTCAGAACTGAAGCTTCCCGCAACCCGGGGCCGCCACCATGAGCTGGCTACGGTGCGCGGCGCTCGCGGGCATCCTGATGATCCCACTGGCCGTCGGTGACGTCTCCTTCAGCCCCTCGGAGGCCTTCGAGCAGCGCATTCTGCAGGAGGTCGGAGGTATCTAATATGACGGCGGCAGTGCTATACCTCTCCCATAGATGCACTTCCTGATGAGATTTGTACACGGGATCTCATCAGGATCCAAGGATCCGAACCCAGGATGGTAAACAAGAGATCAGTGTGCTCACGAACTTATGTAATTTCAACTGCCGTTTGGATGTAACTCCATGGTCACCCAAGCAATGGGGTATGGTGGGGAGACTTGGATTTTATTTCAAGTGGCATTAGGGTTCTGCAACAAGTTGATGTTCCAAAGTTTATCCTATCCTACCCTAGATCATCTCGTTCCCCTGGTCAAGCCCAATCGCCTGCATAGTCAATAAACTGAGATGTCTTCATTCGGATGAAGTAAATATATATATATATATATATATATATATATATATATATAGTAAGCCGTAACGGCCGTTTGCTTGAAATAAAGAAGTGTCAAAAACTCTAAAACTAGGAACTTAATTTTTGTATCACGGAGCGAGCTGTCTCCACCTGGCAACGAGTCATTTCGCATCAAGTTCAACACGCAGAGTCGTACATTTGCACGTACCTTCGTCGTATCCTCGTAAATAATAAATCGTACTTAACGCTAACGCACGAACAACTAACTAAGCACAAAATATAATTATTAGGAGTCAATAGAGGCCTACAGTAGGACGTGTCCACTGGTTATCAAATTTGTGACGCAAATTAATGTGCTCTTGAATATGCAATGACAGTGACAGAACTGGAGATAACAAGTGGGGTAAAAAATCGAGTGTCACCTTGATTTAACCACATGCAAGAAATCTTACCCGTTTGCTGCGCGCTAAGCTGCGTGTTGTAGCGAACATCTTGGGGTAATGCCCCCTGCCTTTTTGTGAATTCCATCCTACACCCCTGGATTCAATTGCTTACAAATGTAAGTGAGAGTGGGCACGTATCATTGCTAAAATAACATACAACTGTTCATGTTTAAATACGTCTGTCAACGTGAATAGATCAAGCGTTTGAATTGCGAGAATTAAACTGCTAACGTAGCCACATATTTTCATGCTTGAATAGTGTCAACGCGCCAGTTTATGGGACTAACAGTAATATAAAATAGTAATTGAGCAAGGCTCAGTGTTCAACGTGTCGGTTACCAATGCACAGATCAAACTGTTAATGCACGAATGGCATTGGTGTCAACAAATGTAACCGTAAATGTTCATTTCCAGGCAGTGTCATTAACGGGCACATGTACGATGTATTTGCTAACACACCATCCTT